GCAAACTGGCGAGAGTGCGTGCTGAAAGAAAAATGATGAACCATGACAAGCATGTTTGCCTTGGCAGAGATACAGCTCTGGCTGCACACAGAGGCAGGCAGACACATGGCCCTGCGAATGAGGGGCCAGGCCCCCTGTCCTTCATTTGTTTTGGGGGGTTGCAGTGCCAGCATGATGCTGGTGATGCTGCCTGAGGGAGGAGAGGGAAAATAAGGACAGGGGATTATAGCCATCCAGTGCATGACAGGGGACGATGAGCTGCTTTGGGGTCAGAGTAAAGCTAAAGCAAGAAAAGATGGGGTTTGGGCACTAGCAGCCTTCTGGTGAGCAAGTCCACCTGTGTTAGATGCCCAGAGCCTGCAGGGGACCACAGTGCTTTCCCGCCAGGAGAGGATGCTGCCTATCCACCAGGAACTTCAGATCACACCCAGGAGAACAGCAAGGAACTGGCAAGAGAAGAAATCCCATCTCAGGACTTTTCCGTGTTTAGTGCCAGAGGCTCCATTCCCATTACTGGCGAGTTCCCATCTTCTGGAAAACAGCACGAAACTTTTCTGGCATCAGTTCAGAAGTCTTTATTATGATAAGGTTACAGAGACTTGTGCGTGCATCAAAACAAAGATCCATTTCATCAGTGCTGAACTGCAGAAAGCAAGCGCATGGCCTGGGTGGCAGGGACTGTTGTCCTCGATGTGTCCACACCAGCCCCTCCTGCACAGGCTGTTGAGCCCCATGACACAGCCAGCAGCCCCACAGAGCCTGCACGTCCCTCCTGGCACAGAGCATGGGAAGAACTGGGATGGAGAAGGAGGGAGCATGCATCCAGCTGAGAGCTGTTTTTGGAGAAGCTGGGGAGCCCTGGCCAGCACCAACATTACAAATCAGCCTCTGACCACAGAGGTGATGACCTTGCTTCCGAGAGCTTTCTTGCAAGTGGAGGCTCCACTATGCTTTGCCAGAGTAGGGCCAGAGAAATCAGCTGTAGCCTGTGCAGAGGAGAGCTCACTGTGCCAGGGAGACTGAAGGGTACTCAGAGCCTGCAGTGGGGACTGGTTGTTTCCTACAAGAGCTGATCGTGCTGCAGACACCCATCCTCTTCTGAGAAGTACTGATAGTTTTGCCTCACACCTGACACTTGGGTGACCATGAGTGAACTTGTGGAAGTCATCAGTCCCAGAGAGACCAGACTGCTCCTGCACCCTGCAAAAAGTTATTGAATCCTCCTGCAATGAACCTTCCCAGAACTGGACCACTCAGTGTTTGAGCCCAAACCACTGACACTCATCCCACTGTGCTGCAGCACATCTCAGGGCTTCCTGTGGCAAAACAGGAGACACCAACGTCTGGAATCTCAGCAGCCCAGCAAAGCTGATAGTGAATAAATACTTGCAAGATAAGAACATGTGGTGTTAAAAGATGCTTTAACCCAGAAGAGCAAAACTGTACAGGAGCCAGTGGCTGGAAACTAAAGCCAGAAGCTACCAAATTAGAAATAAGGCACAGATAATTATTAGTGAGGCAGATCAACTGCATTAACAAGTGACACCATATTATTACTGGCATATTTGGAAATTCCCCCCACTATCATTAATTATCTTCACGTATGCATTGATTAGCTCAACAATACACATTTGAGCTGAATACAGCTGGGTCAGATGCAGCACAGAAGCAAAGACATTAATGTTCATTAAACTTGAACTCTTTGACCAAGAATTTTGAATAGCCTCCATGGACAAAGTCCTGCAATAGCAGGAGAAGTGGGGAGAAAAAAATCATATGTTTTTCTCTGAAGGTTCAAGTACAGCCATTGATATGCAAGTATATATCAATACTTGGGTATTCAGGGTATATCATCCCTGATAGGATGCCTTCAGTCAACCAATTCCTGGAGCCTTAGCCTGCTCAAGTGATTTTTAAATAGCATGTCTTATGCCACCTTAGAAATTCTAGTTTTGGAGAGATTGGCTCATAAATGTGGTATAAATGTCATAAGGATTAAAAATAATGTAACAAATTTTTGATTTATCTTAGTTTGGAGCCTTCAGGTTGCACTCAAGTCACATGTACAGCTTTAAAAAAACCAAACCCAAACCAAAAGGTAAGAGAAGAAAGGCAGGAGAGAGTAAGCAAAGATACCAGCTGATGACCTGACTCCAGAGTCAAGAGCTAGCAATATTAATACTGTGGAACTTGCCATAAAGATAGAGAATGTTGCTAAAACTCTCCTTCCAGGTTCTGTATTTGACCTTTTCCTTTGGCATCAACCCTCAGGAGGCACCAGGAGAGCAGGCTGGCACAGGCGTTCTCTCCACACCACCTTCCACATAGAGTTTCTGCATCAATTTCCTACATGTCCCAGTGTATCTGCTAAGTCCAGCATGATGGACACAATTAAGCAGCCGGCAGATCCCCACGGAGGTCTCAGGAGAGGAGCTGCCATTCTTCACGTTTCCACACTGCTCATGGTGAGGAAGGATGCACCAGCTCATATGGGGAGCTTCTCCAGGTCACCTGCTCTGCTACGAAGACTCCATGTGCACGGAAAGTGGCACAGGATAGGGTGTGCTGCAAGTGGGGCTGATGGGGGAGCTGAAGCAACTCTGATCTCACATTTCTCCTGCATGCCTTTCAGCTGTGACCAAAAGCTACTGTTAACATGTCCTCTGCCTATCTTTGCTGAAAACAACAGAAGGAAAACTCCATCTCTAGATGAATTAAAACATCTCAGTGCATTTGCAGACAAAGTAATAACTGGTCAATGGACAAACAGTATGGGGAAGTGTCATTTGCAGGCTGATCTGGATCACTTGCTTGGGGGAATATTCTTTGATTAGTACATGTTTCAATGGAGTCATGTGGAAGGCAAAGCGGCTCATGCCGAGACAGTGATATACAGCATGAGATAGTAACTGTTCGGGAATGCAATGACTGGAAAAAAAGGCCAAGTTGCAATAGTCCACCTGGAAAAAACAGGCCCAAAACTTTCTTAAGTGAGCAGACCTGGCCCTGACATACACAAATGGGGAACATAGAGTATAGATCAAAACCAGAGGATATTACTTTTATATACACTATTAGTGACTCTACTACCACTCACTGCTGAAAACTTTGGTGTCCACGTTTCAGAAAGATGTAAAAATTTTCAAAGAAGTGTCAAGAGCTACAAGTGGGGTCAGCACAGAGCACTTTACAGATAGAAGGTCAATCCGGTTAATATGATAGAATGATGACTTGCAAGCACCAACAAGGAAAAAGGGATTTTGGTAGCAGAGTGTTACTCAGTGTTTTTGAAATGGGCAGGACAAGATCCATCAGAAGCTGAAGAAAGCTAATTCAGAGGAAATACAGATTTTTAAAAAAATAATGAACTGCCTATAGATCTTACCACGTCACAGGGTAGATTTTTCCCTTACCTTTAGATCCTTCAACATGTTATGGCTCCTGCTTCCAGGAGTAGAAATAACAGGGGGACACTTTCCAGCCTGCGCCGTGCAGAAGGACAGGCTGGGAGGGCATGAAAAACCCAAGCTCTGTGTCTGTGCTTGCCTAAAGGAGGCAGCTTTATTGGGGTTGCACATCCTGATCCCTTTGCACCTTCTACACCTTTGCTCAAGGAAACAGGTGAAGGTGTGTGTTTGCCATGTCTTTGTCTCACAATATCAGCTTTCTTTTGGCATCCAGCACTTGCAGGTCGTTAGGACAAAAGATTTCCAAAATTTCATAGGAGGAAGACAGGCACCAGTGGTTTCTAAGTGTTTTTATGAAAATGGATTTCTGACTTACCTCTCTTCTGGGGAGGGGGCACCAAGGAATGGAAAGTGGAAGAAAGTGATTCATAAACCTGATCAGTGGCATCACCCTAGCTGTGTACTAGAAGATGAGCTGCAGTACTTGCATTCACAAGCTCTGGGTCTTACGGTCATGGGATAAACCTAAGCCATGAGGGAAGGAAAGGTGAATTTTCACTGATTTTGCTGGTGGCAAGAGTGGTTCAATCTGTGCATGCTCATGCTAGTTAACTGCTGCCAGCTGCCTATTTGTAAAGGAATAACACCTAATAAACATTTTCCCTAGATCAGAGGCTGCTGTATGATCAGCACAGTGACACTGGATTGCTTTAGTGGGTATATACTTGTAGGCACGCCGATCACACCAGAGTCCCTGGAGGCCTAAGCACTCACTACTGGTCAGGGATCCTCGGCCAGTATGAGCTGTTCCTATAAAAAACAGCAATGCCTGGCTGGGAACTTGTGTCAAGATGTACTCGAAGAATATGGGAATGGCTCAGTGAACGGTGAGCCAGCTTTGGTCCAGCAACATCAGGAAGACGTGGGAAAGAGGCTTCTTTCCACCTGCGAAAGGAGCAGATAGCCACCAGAGCCCAGCTAAGGGCTGATGACCACCAGCACACTCTGTTTCTTCATCCTCATCCCTTCTTTTCCGAGGGTGGAGTTTGGGAGCCTGGCCAGCCTTTGGGGGCCAGCTGGGTGCAGGTGGCCTTACCCAGCTGTAGGGCTGCGAGGGCTCAGGGCACGGGGAGGTGAGCAGAGGTGTGCTGGTGAGGGAAGGGCTCTTGGGAATAGCTTCAGTGGAGGAGGAGCAGGACCACCTTGGGTGTGATTGCTCCCAAGAGCTCAGTGGGATGTGTGACCCTGAGATTACCCTTGCAAGAGCACTGGCTCCCAAAGATTGCTGCGGTTTTTCTCTTTATAATGCTGTGCACAAGGCAAAAACCAACCAGCAGCAACATTTCACTGAATGAAAGTATGACCCATTCAAGGGGAAAACTCCCGCTTGTCTGTCCTTGGCAGAGAGAGGTGGTGAGCCTGATGTCCCAACCTCTGTCAGTGCAAGTATGAGTCAGAAGAAATAAATGCCCTTCTTGTACACAGTCAGTAGCTTCAGTGAGAGGGGCTCTGAAGTACAGCCTGCTCTGCCGGGGTCTGCTAGCCAGCCCTGAGTGGCCGTGGTGACATGGCCCCTCTTTCCCAATGCTCTTCCTAAACAATCCCCTTCTGCAGGCACTTGGGCTTGTGGAAGAGAAGCCAGGCAAACAGGAGCATGGACACCAGCACGAGGGAGCACAGCACCATCAGCCCCACGTAGCTGCCATAGGAAAGAGGGGGCACAGCGGGCTCCTCTGCAGGGATCATGTTCGTCAGGTTCAGCATGTAACCTAGGGTCCAGCCTGCATCGCTGCTGCCGATCTGAAATGGAAGAGGAGCAGAATCAATGCTGGGAAGTGCAGGGGCTGCTTTGACCATTGCCAGGGCAGTGGCACTCCTGGAGACAAAGGCTGTGCAGCAGAGGTTGCAGTGAGCTGCTGAGGTAGAGCCCTCCCCACCATGGAACACACCTTCCCAAGGAAGTGGATCCTTTGCCAGTTGTTTTCAGTGAAGTCATAGCCATTTTCCAGGAGGGAGAGGATGTAGGCTCCAGAGAAGCAGTATTCACTAAGGTACTTTTCTTTTATTTGGTGATATGCTGTCTTCACCTAGGGAAGGAGGAAGTCACCAGGCTGTTAAACGCAGCTTCCTGCTGGTCCAGCTTGCACGAGAGAGGGGTCTTCCTCCTCTTGCCTTGGAAGTTACCCGCCACCATTTACCCTACATAATATCAGCAATTCTTGCCACCCAGCAGCCCCAGCTTGCCGCCACAAGCACTGCTCACCTCATGCCAAGGCCGGGAGCAGAAGCTCTCAATGGTGGTGGCCACTTTGTCCAAGGCAGCGGGGCTTTGTTCACTGGTCAGGTTCAAAAAGTTCATCACAAAGTAGAAAGCAGAAAAAGCCTGAAGGAAAAAGAACATTTTAACCTGACTGGGCTTCAGCATGAGCAGGGCAGCAGAAATCCACAAATGAAAATGGTTTTATATAGAGATAGAGAAATGTAAGAAGCAACACCATGAACATAAAAGTAGGGATACTTTCAAGAGCAATGTCACTTTCAGACATGCCCTGCAGAGCTGATGAGAGCTAAGGACCCCAAAGAGAAGGTGGAGGTAGGAACTTCACTGACCACAGTATCCTGAAGAACTACAGTAAAACCCGCTCCTCTATGCACTGGTGCCAGAGTGGCACATGGTGAATGCTGCTTGCCATCGTGATCATGATCCCATTTTGGCAACTGAATGAGATGAGCATGCAGCCGATATCACCACAAACAGCAGAGGTGATGGTCTGAAAGGACTGTACACAGCCCTAGCATGTAATCCAAAGTTCAGAAAACCATCTCTGACCAGGGCCAATAGTTGATAGATAGGGGGCAGTTTATGAGCAGGGCAAGGTGAGTATTAACAGTTCCCCCAGAAAGCCTCACAGCCACTGAAGTCTTGCAGATCTAGGACTGATGTTCAGTGTGGTGTCACTTATGATATGTGCTCACAATGTACACTGTCTCCTCATCACGTCTGAGAAACAGAGAGGTGAGCTGACTGATTGGTTCCAGTAGTGCTCACACACTTCTGGATGAATTTCAGATCTGGTACCACCATTGACCTCAGGAGAAAAGGTTTGCAAGAGCAGTGTATCATGCATGGCCTGCAGCAGGCTCTCCTGCCTCTAGTGCTGACCAGCAGGAAGGACTGCTTGAAAAATGAATCAGTAAATTGAGCACCCCACGGAGATGCCCACAGGAATGGGTTAGAATGGGAACAGTGCAGTACTGGTAGGCCAGTATTTACTGGAGTAGCTCTTACACATGTAGTCCTCACAGCAAGTGCAGCACTACTTTTGTAGTTACATGTAAATGATTTCCCACCCCAGCCATGGAGAATACGCTCTAGCATAACACTTAGTTTCTGCTCTTCTGATATTCTGGGTTACGAAAAACTGAAGGTTGAGAAGACTTACCCCGAAGTCCCCTTGTAATGGAGGTAGGTATATCCCATTGAAGGAGCAACTGGAGTAAGGACAATTGGTTTTGTTAAAGAGTTTCTGGATGTTTCTTCGGCACTTCTGATAATCTCCCTCTCCCTGTATGTACAGCTGGCTGAAAGGGAATTGCTTTTTCTTGGCTGATGTACAAGGGGTTTTGAAGAGGTCACTTATATTTATAGTCCTCTGATACCCCTGGTGAAAGCATGGATCAAGGAGGCTGCTGTTCTCCATGGTCTGAAAGTAAAATCAACCCAAGCTGTTACACTTCACTCTAGAGTAACACCTTGGGAAATGGCCACAAGGCCACAAGTACATCACACCAAGATACACACATCAGGCCAGGGTGATGAGGATGGTTTAAGGCATTGGCTGTGACCTGGGGGATGTGGGTATTGCCACGGGCTCCCTGTAGGACCCTGGGCAAATTATTTTCAGCCACATTTTGTGAAGCTGCTGTTGATTTGGGATTCTCAGAGATAGTGAAACATCATCCCCTCAGAGTACTTCAGTTAAGCACAGTACTACTGCTATCCCACGCCCAAGAATCAAGGCACCTCATAGAATCATAGGATAGTTAGGGTCGGAAAGGACCTTAAGATCATCTAGTTCCAACCCCCCTGCCATGAACACTGAACTATGTCGCCCAAGGCTCTGTCCAACCTGGCCTTGAACACCGCCAGGGACGGAGCATTCACAACTTCCTTGGGCAACCCATTCCAGTGCCTCACCACCCTCACTGTAAAGAACTTCTTCCTTAGGTCTAAGCTAAACTTCCCCTGTTTAAGTTTGAAGCCATTCCCCCTTGTCCTACCACTACAGTCCCTAATGAAGAGTCCCTCCACAACATCCTTTTAGGCCCCCTTCACATACTGGAAGGCTGCTATGAGATCTCCATGCAGCTTCTCTTCTCCAGGTTGAACAGCCCCAATTTCCTCAGCCTGTCTTCATAAGGGAGGTGCTCCAGTCCTCTTATCCTCGTGGCCCTCCTCTGGGCTTGCTCCAACAGCTCCATGTCCTTTTTATATTGAGGACACCAGAACTGTACACAATACTCCAAGTGAGGTCTCACGAGAGCAGAGGGGCAGGATCACCTCCTTTGACCTGCTGGTCATGCTTCTTTTGATGCAGCCCAGGATACGGTTGGCTTTCTGGGCTGCAAGTGCACACTGCCTGCTCATGTCAACCTCAAATTGGTAGTACTTCGACTGTCATCTCTTTGGGCATCTGTCCAGTCTTTGTGAAGGAGAATGACATTCCCAAACCCAGACTAAGGGATGAGACTTTAAGCTGGAACATGGCAACTAGTACAACACCAGTATGTCAAAGCTGAGAGGGTCCAGGATCTCCAATGGCATTTACAGATGTACTTGCCTGTAGGTCCCCGGCCAGTTTCTGTTGCAGAGCCTGGTCCTTCCCATAGCAGAGAAAGCTGTGGGTGTACACTAAATAATCCTTCCCATAGAGACGGAAGTAGAGCAGATTCTCTGGGGACTCAGAAGAGAGTTCATTTGGTACAAAGGTAATCTGTGTTGAGGCTCCTCCAAGGTCCAGTGCTCCTGATGTCTCACTTAACGATTTCAGGGAATGTAGAAGTTTTTTCCAGCCGGACTTTAAAAAAATAAAAATTCAAAAGTAAAACCAGATACATAAGGCATGGGGCTGGGGGTGGGGGAAAGGAAAAACAAAAAGAAAGATAGGACCTCTGAGGAAAGGAGCAGAAGCACAGGACACAGGAAAAGCAGGAAGACCTGGAGGGGGCCTGAAGAAAGATGCAGGCTCAGAAGGACAGAAGGTGATTCATGTCTGGGTGTTTGCAGGAGGACTAAGAATATGAAATCTAATACAACTGTTATGAGGAAAACCAGTCAACTTACTCTTTCAGCTCCCAAATGATTTATAAATTCAATAATAAAAAAGAACTGTCAAACCTTGAAGGCACAGATCACGAAGTGAGGAAGATACAGCAAATGGCTTGCTGTACCCCAGCAAAGTTATCAAAGATGCTGGTGTTTTATTTCAGTGCTTTAAGCCTGACTAGAGTGGTACATCCTGATACCAGTAAGTATCAGGATGTACTCACAGTAATTGCTGAGGCAAGATGTGCAGCTTCCTGATCTCTGGTAGCTTTCAGGGGAAGACAGTGCCTGTGACAGCCTCCTGCAGGGCACAATTTACAAAGTGCTGCAAGGCAATGATTCAAATATGGACTTGCTGTTGATACAGTACCTGCTTGAAATTGCCCAGCAGGTAGTTAATGGTGATCCATCCATAGGCTCCTTCTTCCTGACCACTGATGATTCTGGCACCCTGGAAGTTGAAGGGAGCTGAGCGTAGTGTCTTCTCTACTGAGGACAAGACTTTGTCAGCTGCATTTTTATTCTCCAAGCTGGATGAATGGAAGAAAGGATGGAGTGACTCTGGCTGACAGCTCTTTTCAGCTAATGGGCTTTATTCTGAGTACACAGGCTTGCAACTCCCCACCAAGTATTAATTATAAGAGAACAGTCATTCATATAGGTACGTCCAGCTCTAACTGTCCACGTCCCTCTCTGTCACACTTTGCCATCACAGCTGCAGTCAGCTCTGACACTTACAGATCCTGCAGCTGAGAGTGGTACCTGGAGCAGAGACCAGAGCTCTCTTGTTCTGGAGCACATGCCCTGAGGGGATTGCACCTTGGAGATTCCTCTCACTCTTTGCTATTATCATTACAGAAGAAATCCATCCCCAGGGAGATTTCTCAGGCAATACATACATAAAACCAGCTCCCTGTCTCAGCCAGGCAATAGGTCTGAGGCACTCCCATGAAAATCACAAATTGGAATTAAAGGGAGATACGATTATAAAGTTACCTTAGCTCAGATAGTTTTGGGCTGAGTCAAGTTATGTGGGAAGCTGCAAAATGGATGAGCTCAAAAATCCTGGGTCAGGCCTAATACCAGATTTTGGGGAATGTCAAGCATCCCCTGAGCATCAGACTGGGCACTGCTACCCTCCTGGCGTCTGTGCTGCATATAGGTGCTGGAGATGATGGAAAGTTGGACTGAGTGGAGATGGACCTGCTGGGCAAGCAGGGGAAGAGCCCAGGGAGACCTGGGGCTCAAAGAAGCCAGCAGCAGCAGAGGGTATCTGGGCAGTGTAAGCTGGCAGCATGTCCAAGGTCTCTGCCCAAGAGGCTCCACTGAGCACTCTTGTCAGTCCCAGGCGCAGTGCTGCAGGAGAAGGGGACAAGCTCTGCAGTACCTGAGAAGCCGCATGCCAGCAGTTGCTCCGAGGTAGACGGGTGTCTCTTGGTGCTGCTTTGAAGGAATCACATCTTCTGCTTGTCGTAGGCACTGTGCCAGAGAGGGACCTGCCTTCTCTGTGGCATGGGAATAACCTGAGATCCCAGGGCCTGCAAGAGATAAGGACACTTCATCGCTCAAACTCCAAGCATAACCCCAGGGCGCCGTCACCAGCAGTTGCAACTGTATCACTATCACAGGTAACAACATCAGACTCAGCCACCCCATTTCTAAGGGGTTTTAGAAATCCTACAGAAACAACTAAGCCTGATGCATGCATACAGCCACAACACCCAGCATCTGCCACCCCACTCTCCATGGAGCAGGCTATGAAGCAGTGATGAGGGCTGCAGTGAGACAGATAATTTGCTTAGTATGTCCTGGACATCTGCAGACTCATCTCTGCTTCTGCCTGGGTGTACCCTGGATCTATGCCTGAAAATCCCTGACACTTCACTGCACTAAGTCCTCCAGGGGAAGATGCTGTCATTTATTTTGTGCATTGTATGTTCACATTATAGCACTAAGTGTTTTGCAGCTATCCCCTTCATGCTAACCCAAAGAAAAATTCATTGTCCCTCCCTGCCACGTGTCCACTGGTGAATGGACTGCCCCAGGACCAGTGCCTGCATGGGCAGCAATGAAGCCCACTCTGCACTTGCTCCAGGTTGCTATATGCTCAGTGTGCTGCTCGTGGTGTAGCATGCTGCAAGCATCAAGTGGCTATTGCAGCAGCTCAATAACATTATGACTCTCCCCTGCAGTGCAGACAGGCCTGAAAAGACGCCAGGCAGGCTGTGACAGTACTTCTCCACCCAGAGTGCACTGATCCATGGTGTTCAATGCTGTTCCTTGTCATGTGCATCCTTGGGCTTCAGTTATGTCTTTTTAAACCATACAATATCACACAGCAATTAAATAGAATAAAGAATAAATGGTGACATGCATAAGTTAAGCAACTTTGGTCCACAAGCACAGTGCCTAGCTTGCACAGAAGCCTTGAAAAGAGAAAAACATGCCCTCCCCTCTTGCTGCCTGACATTCATTGGCAGTTCAGCAAGGGTGCATGCAGGCATTTTATTTATTTAAGCACATTCTTTGGTTCTAGGTCTTTCCAATGATCACTTACTTCCAAGCATCCTAAAAACAAAGGAAAAAGTAGATCCAGCTTTCCTTCCAGGAAGGTCAGGCATACACAGCTCCCTGTGGGAAGTGGTGGGATATACACGACCTCACAGATGTAACACTGTTTTCTCTATTGGCCTCTTCCTCCAGGCTTTTGCTCCCACACCCTTTGGTTGCATTATCACTTCTTCATCCCATGCCCCTTCCATAGGTCCTTTTCTTCCTCTTACCTTCGACTTTACACACCTCCACCTGCTGCACCACCCCAGTGTCGTTCTCCTTCTCTGCTGGCCACTCGTACACATATAGGTTGGTGTGGGACGACCCCGCATCCAGCACAATCCCATACTGTGGGCAAAACAGAGCCGTCATTGCACCTGAGGCACTCAAGCAGACACAGCATGTGCTGGTCTCCACATGTGGGGTGGCCAGAAATAAACAGCCTATCTGGCAGCTGTGGAACATTACTGTGTGTCATTACTCATCTCAGTAGTGCTTCAGTGCAAAGTTTCCATCAAAGGAGACAAAAGCAGAGAAGCAGCAAAACTAGGACTGACTCCTTAGGAGATGATCCCCTGTGAAGCCATGTCTGTTTTTACCACGAAGATGTAAAATAAGATGTGGAGATGCATGGAGCCAGAGGGAGATGTTAGCCAGATCCAGCAAGGGCAGCAACATGTCCTAGCACACTATGCACACCTAAAACCCCCAGCTTGGCTTGTTTTCCTGTAAAAGTCCCAGCTCATACCTTAATATTCTTCGGAAGTGGCTTGTTTTGGGTCACTGCTACAGCAATTAAAGCAATTACAGCCAAAGTAGAGAGGAATCCCAGGATGAGTAGAATTTTTCTTGTCCAGGACATCTTTGGTTTGGTACCTGTGACTAGAGCAGAAAAAGGATGTTAGTATCCCACTAGCCCATCTTACCTCACACCCCAAAGGTCTTCAAGCACATTTCTGCAGTCCCTTTCTATTATGAAGCATCTGCCTTGGCTGATCCCTGCTCCCATTTCCTGCACCATGTCCTCATGTGGGATTTCTTAGAGGCAGAGCTCAGCCCTGGTGTCCTTCCTGCATACCATATATAAAAAGCATAACTTTGTGGAATCCAAAGCTTTAACCCCTTTACTAGGAGACATTTCTCCTAGTATACTTTGTGGTTCAGTTTTTTACAACGGTCATAACAATTTACAACATCCTCACTACTGGTGATACATTTAGGAAGTGTAACACTAACATTTCAGAATGTGGCAGTCAGCTCAAGCAATGCTGTCCTTTATATTAGCATTGCACCTTTGCAATGCTATATAAAAAATATGATCTGCACTCCACATGGTATTTAAGAAAGCTATGGAGATTTTTGATGCCACTTCTCACAAGACCAATAAATTATACATAGCCTGTATTTGCAGAATTGGCATAATATGGTTAAAAATAGCACACTTTCAAAAACTCGGACCAGTCTGATTCTTTAACTGTTACTGATATATTTGGTATGATCCACCTAATAAGTTAAGATTTTTGTGGCTTAAAATACATGGTTAGCAGTAGAATTCTGTAATGAAAAGCCACTTATGGCTCATGGAAATAATTCACAACCAATATGTCATTTGAGTTTTCAGAACCAATAAACATATATCTGCATTTGTCAGTGGCTAGCATGATGCTGTCTTTTACATTTTTCTGCTTTGGATTCTCTTTCATATATCCCATAGTAGAAATTTCACTTCACAACTTAGGCTCAGCTGGTTTTGGTATTGTTTCATAAAATACCATCTGACAACATGAAGCTCTAGAAAGGGTGTCAGCAAAAGTATTTTCCAGATTTATAATCTAGCTGTAAATCCAACACTTGTTAGAACTAACAAATAGCTTCATCACTCTAAGGGACATACCTGCTCCCACTACGATGTTATATCTATTTCTACCCATACTCAAAAGCACTGATTGACTGCTCACACGAGTAGTAGTTTCTCTTCTCCTTATACACAAATACCCTAGGAGATGTTTAGAAGTACATTACAGGTCATCCAGGATGGCAATACCTCTGTGCGGGCAACCACATCAACTTTCTTCATGCTCCAAGAAGGTAAGGTGACCAAACCTGCTCTGTATCTGCATGCTAGAACTGAAGTTCCAGAGGTCATTCTCCGGTCCTCAGGTGATACTGGGTCAATGCTCCAAATCCATCCTGGCACCCCATGTTATGCATGAATATATGAAAAGTTTTCAAGTTCTGAACAAGGTAATTTTCTAACCACTCTAGTTTCATGTGAAAGGTGGTCCAGGTGCCAGAACTATACAAAGTGTTACCCAAGCTTAGAAATGACCCTGAATCCATTTGGCCAAAGTGAAAAGAAGCAGCACAACTCTGGAAATCTTTGATTGTAAACAAATAACATCTTTCCACCTACCTTGAGAAAATGGAACCTAAAAGTACCAAGAGAACTTGTTTTGAAGATCTCCATGCAGGCAGGTCCATTGGAAACCTAATGCTGACCTGGAGCTCTGTGCTTATGTGCAAATCTGTTAAGGCTAACCGTGGAATTTGGAAGCTTGTTGTGCTCGCATTTTGTGAACGCCTGTTAAAGGCACAGCATGCTTTCCAGTACCTCCAAGAATGCAGCTTAAATAAATAGTCTAGTGCACATACCAGACAGTAGGAGGTAAGAGTGCATTTTGTACAGCTTTATTCTAAAAGGCTGCAGCACTCAGGGTTTGAAGTGATTAGAAACAGCAGAGCATGAGCAGAGCTGGGAGACGTTTCTTCTTATTGGAACGAGCAGTTGGCTCAGGTTGTGATAGCACTGAGCATGTCTGATGAACAAAAATTATTTTAACACTAGAAAAACGGTTAAAACCAGATGCTATAATATAAAGAGAGCTGCACGTTATGGATATGAAGCTAGCATGCTTGACATGAAACTGCTGCTGACAGTTGCACAGCACATCCATGTAATTATTGCCCCCTTATTCTGAGATCTTGCCTAAAGATCTCAGAGTTTTTAAATCAGAAGATTTTAAAACTTCCTGTTGTGATGGGTATTGTCTGTCTCCTGTATCTTTTCAGCAGCCACACTCTGAAATTAGCAGCATCATCAGCAAAGCAGGAACAATTTTCTCACTATAATGGATGATCCTAATAAACAGCTGTAGAAATCCCTTGTCTGTAGGCAGACATAATGATAATTGTTGGCATCCCACCTGCAGCCTGTGATTAGTCATATTTTCCAAGGCACATTATTTCCTTAACCCTGAACATGACTTTTAGCTTGGTACCATGAGTACTTTTCTGGACTCTGGAGGTTGTAGATATATGATTTTGTTGCTGTATCCCATACCAGAGCATCCATCTGCGTGAACTCTAACACTGCAAAGTAGCATTTTGTTGAAATGTTTCATACAAGAAAAGGTACAAAACAATAATCCAGAAGGTAGCCTAGCAAATAACTTTCCAAATAGTACTCAAAGTGTACAAACTTGAATAATTATTTAAAAAACCCCAAACCACAACATTGCGAATCCAGATAAAGAAGTCAGTGTAATTAAAACTTGTCTGCCATTTGCTCAGAAAGGTGAGGTATTTAAACAAGTTCCTTTTTCTGCATACTTGGTTTTGTCCATCAGCTCTAGGCACAATTGCAGTTCTGAAGTGGCTAAGGAATTAGCTTATTTCCTAAACTCCTCCAGCTCCTTTGAGCCCCATATCAGGTTGCTGAATGCCATGCAAACACTCCTTGGTCTCCACCAAGTGGTGCAGTACCGGACCCTCTAGCACCTCTGATTGCCAGGCCCAAGGACTTTTCTTCTACTAGCACCTCTTTTCCTTAGCTAATGATTAAGCAGGCATAATCTTCTGTCTCTGTGCCCAGCCAGAACCAAACAGAGATAGATCTCTGCTCTTTCTCCCATACTGTCCACTGTAAGTCATGATAAAAACATCATATAGGGGCAGAAGTAGGCATAGAAATGACACGGCTTTTCTTCTTCCCCACCCCAAAGCTGCCTGGTGCCAGAGCCCTGCCCAGCTGTGCATGCATTATGTACTCTCCAGATATCAGAGCGAAACTCAGCTGCGCAGGCATCTCTGTTTCTAATTCTGGTCTCTGTTTTTTAATGTAGGGGCTACTGCTGGTTCCATCCAGTGATTGGTGCAGGTCCCAGAACATAAACAGATCTAATACCCTTTCTGTCTCTGAGTTATCAATTGAGAATGCCGCTGATAGCCACTTCAGCTAACAGCAGTTTTGCTGCAGAAACCCTTTTGTTCTCTGTGAATAACCCAGGAAAGACCAAACCAGCATGGTAGGCAGCTCTGCAAGGAAGCAGGACTGTCCCCAGTGTCTTCCAGACAAATAGGGAACTGCTCTCCACCCAGCATCATGCTAAGTCACTGGCAGCTCTGCATGCCAGGAGATGTCACTCACAGCCAAGGCTACCCACCTCCCAACTCCCTTCTCACCAAACAAGACTTGGCAACAAATGTGAAAAGGAATCAGGCAGCCAGCTGCTTTTAGAGGTGCAATAAGGAGAGACTAAGGCTATTTAAGGACTGAAATTAGGATTGTCAAGCAGAAAAGGAGAGATGCGGTGCACAGTTCAAAGCCATGCTCAGTTCAGGTAACCTCACTGTGACCTCTCACCTCGAATAAAAACAAATACCGTTGTAAGGTCTGGCTTAGCACAACATCTAAAGTTGATGTTTGCTTTTTCCTTTGGATGCTCATGCTCAGCCTGTTACAGAAAGGATCACAAGAGGCTGAACTGCAAGGCCATCACTCTTACACTGCACAAGTGCCACACTGACAGAGACAGTTCCCACCGTCACCTTTCTGCTCTCAGCACACTTCTGTATGGTGGCAAACATTCTCATTTTCAAACATTATTTATTTATTGCCAGTCTATTCCCTCTGTCTTTGTTCCACCTCTATCTCAAAACATCTGCAAATCTCAATCCTCCTAGGCTTTATTCTCTCAACCAACTTACAAGCAATGATCTTTTCTGGATTTTCATCTTTCCAGACTTCTCCATCTACCTGGACAGTACAGCAGCCCTTTTCTGCGTACAAAATAATCTGCTTTTATTTTTCTTAAGCGTTCTGACCAGAGCTGCAATAAGACTAGCCTTGCACAGCAATGTACCCATTACACCAGGAGATAATACTGTCCCAGCCTAAATGATGTGAGGTGGGGACCTGTACAGTCTCAGACACATGATTGTCTACCATCACGGGCAACACTAAGGCAGTTCAGCACCCTGCTATGTAATCCCAGTAAACTCACATTTAATCACATTTAATTAAATTAGCCTTGCTACATGCTGTAAGCAAAGGGAGTTCCAAGACACACCGCCTGCTGCCCACAAAGCTTGGAGTGACGACAAAGAATTAGACGGCGTCTTACGAATCCTGCCCATCCGCTGGCAGCTACCTCTGCTGCAGATCGCCCACGTTGCTGCTGCAGTCTGTTGGGAGACTCTCCAATACCTGGTTCCTAAGCATATGTCCAGTCTTTGGGGGAGAGCTGCTGGATGCTCATAGGGACATGGTTTAGTGGTGGACTTGGCAGTGCTGGGTTAACAGCTGGACCTCATTTTAAAGGTGTTTCCTAACCTAAACAATTCTATGATTCTATGCAATCACATAACCCACCAAATGGGAATATAGTCTGCAGAGCTCCTGAACCTAAACATATCAGAGAGACACGGTGCAGTGCTGAGAAGCTGCTGAACTGTGACCCATCACAAAGGGATGCAGGCATGCTTGAAGACTGAGAAAATGGGAACAGTATAGATTGAAATGAGTCAGATGCCACTGTATTTTTAAAGCAAGGAACAACAACTTGCATGCCTGCTTGCCAGCTGAAAGTGCACAGGAG